TGACTTTCTTGCCATCACCCTCTGTTGCTGCAGCCCAATGCTTTGCTGAATGCTGCACTGAAATGATATTTGTGACAGACGGGGAACCCCAGTAACAGTACAAGCGGAAGGGATCATTGTAGGAGGGAAGATTGACTAAAATTGAACCCCCCCTCCTTTCAGTGGGATCATTTCGTAGCATCCATCCCAGTTTGTAAAACATTTATTATGTATTTTGGTATATCCTGGAAACATTGCTGTAACTTTTTCATAACATTGGTATACTGCCTTTCCATAGAATTTAAACTTCCACTGTGTGTTCAGTTACAGTATTGACATTGTATGTATATAGCTACGTGGCATGATATAGCTGTTAGCCAAGTGGGCTGTTGTCCTGGCATGCAGAGAGCCGATACACCACACTCAGGGACTCCACTTAAATGCTTTATTTTAAAATAAAGGGGAACAGACCAAAAAAGGCTGTACGCATTTTTTAAAAATTCCCTGATTGTTCCATGGAATTTGGTAGGATTTACTATTCTGTGAATAGTAGCTTTTATTTTAAAAAAGAATAAACTGGCCCTTGAACTAGTCCCAATAAGGACAGAGTAGCATCATCCCAATTTCTGTCCAGATGGATTGTTGCTGCAATTAGAGTAGCCAATCTATTCCCTTCCTGGACCCCTATGGTTCCACAGTGGTTGCTTAGTTTGGGTTTGTCCCAATTGATGCTTAAGCCTTTTGAGCCTCTAGCCACTTGTAATTTGGCTTTCTTGTTTAGGGAAGTGATATTCCTAGTTGTGATAGAGAGTAAGTGAATTGGCTGCACTGAGGCATGAGCTTCCTTTTTTAAAACATGAAGAGGACAAGGTAGTATTGAAGAGGACAAGGAGTTTGGCATTTTTGCCAACGATGATTTCTAATTTCACCAAACCCAAGATATTACTCTCCCAGTGAGTTCCCCGCAACCTACTTCCGATGTGGAGAGGGCATTACGTACTAGATGTTAAGAAGGCTACCTTACTGGTTTTAACTGTTTTTTAAAAACTGGTTTATTTATATGGAATTTTAACTGTTTTACATATTGTATGCACTACATTTTTTAAAATTCCCTGATTGTTCCATAGAATTTGGTAGGATTTACCATTCTGTGAAGAGTAGCTTTTATTTTAAAAAAAAATAGACTGGCCCTTGAACTAGTCCCAATAAGGACAGAGTAGCATCATCCCAATTTCTGTCCAGATGGATTGTTGCTGCAATTAGAGTAGCCAATCTATTCCCTTCCTGGACCCCTATGGTTCCACAGTGGTTGCTTAGTTTGGGTTTGTCCCAATTGATGCTTAAGCCTTTTGAGCCTCTAGCCACTTGTAATTTGGCTTTCTTGTTTAGGGAAGTGATATTCCTAGTTGTGATAGAGAGTAAGTGAATTGGCTGCACTGAGGCATGAGCTTCCTTTTTTAAAACATGAAGAGGACAAGGTAGTATTGAAGAGGACAAGGAGTTTGGCATTTTTGCCAACGATGATTTCTAATTTCACCAAACCCAAGATATTACTCTCCCAGTGAGTTCCCCGCAACCTACTTCCGATGTGGAGAGGGCATTACGTACTAGATGTTAAGAAGGCTACCTTACTGGTTTTAACTGTTTTTTAAAAACTGGTTTATTTATATGGAATTTTAACTGTTTTACATATTGTATGCACTTTGTGCCTGTGTAAGCCGCCCTGAGCCCGCTTGTGGGGAGGGCGGGGTATAAATATAATAAAATAAATACATTACTCTATTTAAAAAGAACCAGTTCATTTTGGAAGGATCCACATCTCTTTATTTGTTATGCTGGTCCCCATAGAGTAGCACCATCCCAAACTGTCCAGATGGATTGTTGCTGCAATCAGACTGTGTTACAATCAGTATGGAGAGTTGTATCCATTTCCTTTTGAAGCACATTCCACAAGGGCTCAAGCATCTTTTGCAGCATTTCTCCTAGGAGTCTCCATAGCAGACATCTGCAGAGCAGGGACCTGGTCATCTTCTGACACCTTCATCAGAAATCTCTCTGTGGATGTCAACACAAGACAAGAGACATCAGTGGGAACAGCAGTTCTTCATTTGTTTGATCGAGAGCTCTACCCTCATCCTTATTTATTTATTTATGCAATTTTTATCCCACCCTACCTTACAAGCAGGTTCAGGGTGACTTACATCATGTCATAAAACCATTCCATAAAACATTAATTCATTTAAACATAAATTCATACTAGATTAAAATTTAAGTACCAGATTTAAAATACCTAATGGCAGCTCAGCAGTTGGTTTCAATTCAGTATATGGTAAGCTCATGCCAGGGAAGGGCAGAGGATCACTCCAATGGAGTAAATCAGTGGCTCCTGGTGCCCATGGTATAAAAGCGCCATGGAGCACTTGAGGCAGGGGAGGCTGATGTTATTTGATGTCCACCACCTCAACCAAAGGCCTGGCGGAACAACTCCATTTTACAGGCCCTGTAGAATTGTAACAAATCCCGCAGGGCCCTGATCTTCATCAGGAGCATGTTCCACCTGGCCAGGGCCAGAGCTGAAACGGTGAGTTGCTTGTTAAACTCCTGATGTGGAACTGCACAGAGACCCAAGATGAAACAGGGTTGTGCTTAACCTGTAACTGTTGTTCATCAATAGGGTTGCCAAGTCCAAATTTACTTACCACGGAGGAGTCCCGTGCGTTTGTGCGCGCACGCAAAGCGCGCTCGCTGCCGCATTGACGCCACCCAGAAGTGACGTCATTGCGTCGGCATGTTGGGGGCGGGGCCACTAGGATTCAAGGGAAAACCATAGAGTTATCCCTGAAATCATAGAGCATCCCGCCCCTATCGTGGCCAGCGTGATGATGTCACCTCCGGGTGACATCACCATGCTGGGGACGTGTGCCGGAAGGGGGTGGAGTTCCCCCCGGGGCCCGATTTGCTGGCTTCCCCGCCTCCCGGGGGGACTTGGCAAGCCTATTCAGCAAATGGTTTACTTTATAGGCACACATTCTTTCCAGCCTGCAATGCTGGAAGCTGTGTTTTCAGCAATGGGTTTAGGGCTTGCAGTATTTCAGGAGGAACTGAGAGAAGGGGCTGCTGCTTCCTCAGAGCACATGACTGTTTTGGCAGGACACAGCTCTTGGTGTGTTCTGAGGGTAGGGGCACCTTCTTCTTTACTATTTTAGCTAGAAAATTCTCTCCATAGCTGGCCTGTGCATGTGCAGTCCCAGTGTGTGCCTGCACTAGGGTTGCCAAGTCCCCCCGGGGGGCGGAGAAACCCCCACCCCAGAGGCCCGTTCCCCGACCCCAGGGAATTGGGCCCCGGGGGGAACCCCGCCCCGGCGTGCTTGTCACAGGGAAGTGACGTTATGACGCCGGGCACGCTGGGGGCGGGGCCACGGCCATACAAGGGAAAACTCTATGGTTTTCCCTTGTATGGTCGTGGCCCTGCCCCCAGTGTGCCCGGCGTCATAACGTCACTTCCCTGTGATGTGCATGCAGTCCCCCGCCGGCAAGGTAAGTCCCACTTGGCAACACTAGCCTGCACAGAAGACCACCTAAGAAATAACAATTATAGGTAAGTACAACCCTGTTTGCTACAAATTGGAGGCAGAAACCATCTCTCTTTTGAAATTGTGGAGTTCTTGGTCTGCAAAAAAATCTATATGGCATCTTTAAAATACTACAACTGTCTTTTAAAAAGAATAACAGAGAAATTTATTAATGTAATCCAAAATTCCAATTCAGGGAACCTCTTTGTTTCATTGAAGGTAATGACAAGTTTCTGGCCTCCCATTTAATAAAACTTGAAGTTTAATCTGTATCTGTTGTAGAAATACTCCAGGCTCATGAACTCTAACTTCACTGGGAATCTGTTTTGTTTTGCGACTGTTAATAGAATATGAGATCATCAGTTCTTCAAAAGAATGTGTAGGGATAGGAATTCTGAAATAAATACAAATCGCAAGACAAGTTGTTTTAAAATATATTGGATCCCTTTATACTCTGAGAGGATATTGTCATGGGATTATGTATATTATATTCTATAGTTGACGATAATACAGGTGAATAGAGAATGCAGGTGTGGATTTTAGGTTACTTGTCTTGATTGCATATCCAGGACTGGCTTAATTTTACTACTGAACTGGCGACATTTCATCTGTGCATCTTTTTGACATTTTACCCATGTGTTCATATGCTAAATTTATTTTAGTTGGAGATAAGTCCAATTTGTTGGAAGTTGTTTGTACAGTCTCCACACTAAAGACACATCTGCATGGGGAGATTTTTGCATTCTTAGTTTCTGTCGTAAATCACAATCCGAAGTGTGGGAAGCAATCCAATGTTTATTGTACCCTCCTATATGTGGATTAGGAGCTGCGGTGACTCTGAACTGCAGGCTGTGGAAGGTCAGTAGTTCAGCAGTTCGAGACCCGACTGTGCCGCATGACGGAGAGAGCTACCGTCTTTAGTTCCAGCTCCTGCCAACCTAGCCGTTCGAAAGCAAGAAATTGCAAGTAGATAAATAGGTACCACTTTGGTGGGAAGGCAACAGTGTTCCGTGCGCCTTGGTGTTTAGTCATGCCGGCCACATGACCACGGAAATGTCTTCGGACAGCGCTGGCTCTTCGGCTTTGAAATGGAAATGAGCACCCCTAGAGTCAGACTTCACTGGCTTTCGAGCAAGGGAACCTTTACCTTTATATGTGGATTACTAGGTGCCATTAAGATAGCAGAATAGATTCAGAATGCTAGAGTACTGTTTGGAAAAGAAAGATGGAATTGAAGTTACCTAAATAAAATAATAATCTAAAAACTACTACTTTGTAGAAATGCTGTTAGCTAATGAACATAAAGCAGAATTCTTATCTAACTGGGTGGATCCAAATTGCAAATCTGTAAACACACAAAAACTTGTGCCAGAGATTGTAGGAAATGTAAGAGACGGTGAAAAAGCTGATAAAGTTTTAAGTCGATTCTGTAGCACTTTTCTTGCTGCATTTTATACAACTTCTTCCACAAGGGGAGTATCTTTTTTGGGTATAGTTTCAGTTTTCTCTTGTAACAATTCAGTATGAAATGCAAAAACAGATCTTCCATGAACAGAATGTCTTCCGCACACCAAACAGCACTTTTGCATCCAACACATTATCTCCTTATGTAATTTCATTATTATTTCATTGAAATACTGTTAACAATAACATTTCAGGAAATTTTGCTTTCTAATTATTCTGCCATTAAAGCAGTGTTTATATTTTCCCTTTTAACCAGGACTTTGTAATTACAGTTATTCGACTGTTTGAAAGTCCTTCGGCTTCCATTCGAGCAAAAGCCTTTTTGGTCCTGTTACAAGTTATAATTAATAACAGGGAGATGCTGCTTCTGAGCTGCCAAGCAAGGTATAGTGATGGTTGACATGGAAGCTTGGATAACTAATTTTTTTTTCTTTACAGTTTTGTGGCCATCCTGAACTTAATGGTAGTTTTACTTAACATTGTTTTTTGTGAGAGGCTATTTGATTTTTTTGTGTTTATAATGAAAGTTACCAATGGGCAATAGAGATTAAATTACCCATTATATCAGAATAATGTTACTTTTACAGCATCCTGTATGTTGTATGCTGTTTGTTTAATGGGCAAGAATAATAGACAATGTTCATTTATCCAGGTATCTGATACTGCCATCAGGGTATTAACCATCCCAAGGCAATACTGCATAGATTTTCACAAACTGAAGATAAATGCTGTTCATTTTGCTTTTAGAAAGAGTTTTCACTTTAACCAAGTTATAAAAACTGATGTCATTGCCAAGCTTTCTTTAATTTTCTTAAGTAATATAATGAACCAGTGTAAGTATAACAGGGTTTTGGGATGCCAATTATATATGAAAATTTAGATTTCTGGGTGTCAGTTACCTTTATAGCTTTAAGGATACAATCCCACTCTGTGTCCATTTACTTGGAAGTGAGTCTCAGCAGGATTGACGTCTGAGTAGACATGCATAGAATTTGAAATATGATTCAACATATACTGCTCCATAAAAGGGTTCTGTGGTACTTTGTTTGGGAAATAAGATCAACAACAGGTGCTTAGATCCATCATTGTGGTACCTGTGCGGTCCCACATGGGTTATTGCACACATGCAGGCCTACCACAGAGAGCTTTAGAAGCTCAAAAACGCTAGAGGGTGCTCGTTCCCCCTTTCTCCAAACTGCTTTCCTGCATTTTCCAGCATAAAAGAAGGGGTGGAGTACCATTCCTCAGTTCTCTGCTGCCTTGGAGAGAGGTTCTTTTATTTGAAGCTCTGTGTGAGGAAAAGTGCGGCCTTCAAGCCTTCTTCTTTTGGCAGATGGAATTTATTTCAGAGAGTCAAAGCAACTGGCCTCAAATAATATGGTTCAGAAAGCTCTCTTTAAAAAACACACAGCTTTTGGGGTAAAAATCCCCCATAAGGACAACCGTACCATGTGTCCACTATTACCTCAGTTAAGAGCATGATGACTTGAGGTGCCCAGTTTGCAGACAGTTCACTCCTTATGTGAGACATGATAGAGCATTGCATTTGAAAGCTGCTTTATGGGGGGGGGGGGAAAGCTTTGTCCGACACCCTTCCTGACAATTTTCCAAGCATGACTCCAAGCCCAAATCCAGAGTGGTGGATCAGATTGTCATTGGTGTTAATCTGAGACCATTTTCAGAGCCCTCAGCCCTGGCCACAGTGCCAAAAATGGGGCAGTCATCTACTACCCTGGCATCTTCCAGGAGAAGTGCTTCAGAGTGTCCCCCCAAGGAGGCTCATGGCAACCACGAGCATGTGGGAAAAGCATTGTGGAAGTAATCCAAGTAGTTCTAACTTCTATCATAAGTCCATGGCTCTGTCACGGCCACTCTTTGAACCTGTCACAGCGTTCCATGTGCCTTGGTGTTTAGTCATGCTGGCCATACGACCATGGAAAAGTCTTTGGACAGCGCTGGCTCTTCGGCTTGGAAATGGCGATGAGCACCGCCCCCTAGAGTCAGATTCAACTAGCTCTCAAACAAGGGAAACCTTTACCTTCCCAAGAAGACCCAGATACATTTGAGAAGCCAAAATATACCCCCCTAAATACTGATAAGAGTATATTTTCAGCTTGGGTTCATCCAAATGCACACCCCTAATACAGGGACATAATGCCCAGCCTCTGTCATATTGCAGTAAAGGTAATGACCAGTTGCTCATGGGCCAGATAAGAGCCCTAGACAGGCCAGTTCCGACTCACAGACTGTATGTTTGCACCCCTGCTCTAGAGTTTCTCTCTCTATGGTGGGCCATAACCCATGTGTGACTGCACAGGTGACCACTCAATGAACAACAGTAAGTGCAACTCTTTTTTCTGTGGTAGAAATAGTATAGCAGTGCTTTCTGTTTTGTGTATTATGTTTTTTCAACATTGAAACACTACTCCCCCCCATTATGGAGATGAATTGGTACACTACTTACAGCTGATCTACCTCTTCTAAATATTTGAAATCCCTGTTATTTCTTACTGTTGAATGTTTTGTGGCTTTCCAAATCTGAAGCTTTGCTTCAACCTAGAAATGAATTAGGTGGGAGTTGTACAGTACCATAGTTACATATTGCAAAATTACTACTTTATATTTGATTTGTGTGGTGACACTGATATTTTACTTCACTATACCTTGTGTGTACACTTACCAGGATTAAATGGGGAATCCCCCAAATACTGTCACTTTCCTGTACATACAGTCTAAGAATAAGCTAGTGAAAGAGATATGTCTTTTCTGAAAATGACTGAGAATTTTGTAGCTTAAAAAAAAGGAGGGGGGATAAATGTGGGAAATTAAATACTGAGAAAATGAGCTACTTTACCAATTCATTTATTTCATGTAAACAAAATACTATGAATGGTGTCACCTCTATACATCTAAGGTGTATCTGACTACATATATTTAATTTGATTTTTTCTCTCTCTAGTGATTCATTTTTCGACCTTTCTGATCAAAGGCAAAAGTTAATATCTTAAATGGGCTGCTTGGAGCACTGTCTAAACATCATCTCTTTTATGGAAATACTTGCATCAGTGGTATAGAGAGTATCATCATTATTTTGGCATATGTGGTAATCCTTGCATTTATTTGTATGTAGACTGGTGATGTACATTGAAAGAGACAGCAGAAAGGCCACGCCAGGAAAAGAACAGCAAAGCAGCAATGAATACCTGTCAAAATGCCTGGATCTTCTTATCTATCACATTGTGCAGGAGCTACCACAGATTCTAGGTAAATTGAGCTGCCTGACTATAAACAGGATTTTTCTTTTTACTCCCTTGCATAACACTTAACTGTAGAAAATTGAGAAAACATTGTTTCTGGTTCAAGAAACTTGAGGCCAAAATACCTGAGAATTTGAGATTTGGGTTCCCTGCAGCCACACAGCAGCTGTGGGAAATGGTTATTACTGTGGCTATTAGAATGGTTATTACTGTCAAGTGTAGATTGTAATATATTAAAAAAAAAACTGGAGAAGAAATAAAACTTTTTATTTTCCGTTTTAATGGTCTGGATTACAAACATGCATTGAGCCCACCTATCCAAAGCTGCTTTTCTTTAAAATGCACACATAACGCTGCTTCTTGTGGATGGCGTATAGGTAACCTCTCAGTGTCCAAAATGAAGTTTGCAAAGTGACACTAATTAGATATTGTTTAATTTTTTAAGTGCCAGCAACATTTAAATCTTAGTCTCTTCCAGCAGATGTAGCTGTAATCTGCAACTGTTACACAATGGGCCATATACGCTATAGTGAGGTATTAAAAACTTGTTAATTATAGGGTGAGCTTCAGCAGTGCATTCCATTAATTTTGCTGTTACCTTAGATAAGTAAATATTTTCAGGTTTCAACAAATATCCTATTTTTTTTAGCAAGTACTGAGTGTGCAGTAATTAGGTAACACTAAGGTAATGTTATTTACTTAGAATTAGTAGCAAAGTATTATCGTTAAATACTGGAAAACTGAAAAATTTATTAGAATTGCCTATATTGTCATATTATACTGAGCTAAGATTCATTCATAGAATCAATGTATGCATAGCAATCCTCTGACCAGTCACACATTTCAGTGAATAAGAAAGTTGAGAATTGGTGCCTAAGCAGTTAACTAGAATAGTCTATTAAAGTGAGAGACATTGTTTCTTTCTGGTAGGAGGCAGGACCAGAAATAGTTGTAACTAGAAGCAGGGGGTCTCCATAGGTCCAAAATAGTCCCAGCCTGGAGGCAGTGAGCAGGGCATCATTGGTGCCTAGGATTAATAACAGAAGGCCTTTCCCAGTAGGCCTACAAGGGGCTGCAGAGATCTCATTATTCCCCTTATGGCGCATAGGACAGTATTTTTTTCTCACAGAAAGAAATTGTTGGGAAGAAAAAGCTGTAAACTACAAACCTGGATTATTGCTGGAATGCTGGAGATGACCACTGAAACCCTCAAGTTTACCAGCTAATCTACAACAGAAAGTAGCCCCAAGGGAGAGTTCTTCAATATTTTCATACTTGGGACCCACTTTAAACCCCCAGATGGCAGCATGAGACCTACTGAGTTGGAAGCCAAGATTAGAGCCTTTGAAGAATTCTCTCCATCACTCAGTGACCTAGCCTTACTGTCCTGCTACACCTCTCAGTACACAAGAGAGGCTGAAGGTATGGCACTAGCAGCAGGTCATTCCAAAAGAATCAGCAAAACTGGTGTCTCGAGAGGCTCACAAGCAAATGGGCTCTCCATTTACCCCCAAGGCCCATTTGAGAATCTTAACTCACAGGTTGAAGACCACTGAACTAAGGCAAACCCCCCGCAGAGGCCTTTCTGAAAGCTAAGGAGAGAGAACAGGGATCCTCTTTTTGGCATTCTTTAATCAGGACATAAGGTAGAACAGTTCAGTTGAACATTGTATTTCTTCTTTTTTTTTTAGAAATTGGAGAGAATACTTTCAGGTACTTACAGGATGGGAAAACGAAGTTTCAGTTTGTGAATCTGTAGAGGAAAATGTAGGAGGAAAGGAAAACCCACCATTGTGTCCTCAAAATAGTTTTAAGTAGGACTGTTGGATAGCACCCTGCTTAAAAAAGTAGCTATCACTGACAAATAATTATTCAAAGAGAAGAATCTTCTGAAGATGGAAGAAAGCACAACCATAACCCTGCAAGCTTCTGCCCAAACATGCGGAACTAGTATGAAAGACAGGAAATGGATATTGCCGATCACAGAGCTGCTGTCTCTTCTGAAAGTTTCTGCCTCAGACTAGGCAATATCAAAACCTAGAAGTTCCTGAAAACTCAGTAGTTCCATGTATACATCCCATGCTCAGCCTCAGACAGGAAACAAAACATCTAGAATTGCATTTAACCGATAACATATAATGCTGTGTCTGTGTGCACACTGTCTCTCTGTACACATTAAATCTATACATTTGTGAAGCTGCCTTGTAGACCATTCATCCACTGAGCACAGTATTCTTTACTTTGGCCCCAGTCACACGGAGCATTAGGCATGCTAGAGAGACGGAAGATAGGCGGATTTTCCGGGCGCGATCTCACAGCCACATCTGGGAAGTGTAGAGCTCCTGTGGCGCACCTCGGAGGTACTACCGTAGTACCTCGGAGGTACTACCGTAGTTTCCGGAAACCGCAGGGCAAGGGCGGGCGTCTGATCGCGTTTCCAGTGGTAGTTCTGGCGCCCGCCCATGTCCCCTCGCAAAAAGTTTTTTTCCCCCAAGTCTCCACGGATGCGCACAAGCACCCAACGGAGCATGTGCACATTTCAGTTTTTTAAATAACCACAACCCCGTTTGCCGTGCCGCTCCGATGCTTTGCCGCGTCGTGTGATTGGCACCTCCCCCCTAACCACGGGAGCTCGACAGGACCTCAACCCGACGCCTGATCGCGCAGTTGCGCGTTAGTTTGCTCCGGGGCAAACAGCCATCCCCCACCCCCGCATTTTCCTGTCCGTGTGTCCGAGGCCTTTGACTGGCATTAATTCAGGGGTCTTTCCCAGCTCAGCTGCTTCAGATTCTTAATTGTGCCTTCACACATCTATAGACTACAACTTTGATGTAAGAATGAACTCTGGCAAAAAGTACTCTGAGATTTTTAGTATGTAAAATATATAATTAATATATGTCATCTCTTTTCTAATAGCTTGAGATATTCATATGAATTGGCTGATGTAACATTTGACTGAAACATCCTGTGGGGGAGGGGATAATGCAAATGTTCTAAGGTATATATTCATACTCTAGCAGTGTTTCAAGCATATGACTTCGGACCCTGCTGTTCATGTATCGCTGCTTTATATCTCAGTCCTCGGCACTTCAATCTGGAAGTAAGTTTCTGGTGACTTAGATCCATGTGTGCCATGCCAGTCATAAACGAATCAAGAGCATAATTGGCCTTGGGAAGTATTGGTTCCTGGACTCACATTTTCTTTATAACCAGGGAGACACATGTCTCTTTTAAATGTTTTGGACCTGCAGAGTAACAACATAAACACACTGAAAAATTTGTCATTGTATTATGAGTTGATTACATAGTTCTAAAGCTTGAAACCCTCATACTGAATACATATTAAAAATATTTTGTTGAGATTAAAATAGGGTTAGTAAGTGCTGGTAAGTCATATGAGTTGATGGCTTTGTAATAATATGAAACCTGTCCTTTATAGATGACATGCTTGCCGCTTTAGCCAATGTATCAGGACGTAAGCATCCATCAACAGTTCAAGCAAAACAATTGAAGGGTTGCCTTCCAATGATATCTGTAGTACTTCATCTCGTAACATCTCAGGTAATAGTTGTTAAAGACCAAAACATGAGGAATATTACTGCTTGTTTTTTTTTACTCCGGGGGCTGCTGCAAGTGTGTCTTCTCTGCTTTTCTTTGTACAGGAAGGCAACATTAATGGAAATCCTTATTTAACTGTTTAGTGGGGTTGCAGCACTGTCTGTCGTGCCCCGTTTTGATCAATACATGTGTGTTTGTACACAACGTGGCACCTTTCCCACCTATTACAATTATTCACTGTGTTTTTAAACTTCTGTGCACTTAGGTGTTTCGCCCCCAAGTTGTAACTGATGAGTTTCTTTGCAACTATGGAACTTTCCTGGTAAGTAACAATGTTAAGTCACAGATATACAGAACAATCAGAAGAGCAAGCCACATGTAAAACCCACATGCTCATAATGTTAGAAGTTCTAGTATTTTTTGTGTGTATCTGTAATTTTAAGTAGCTGGTACAAGTATTTTTTCCTAACATACATTCAAAAAGACATGTTGTTTTAAAGCAAATTTTTGAGGAATTAACAGTTCAAAAATTCAAATATATAATGTTTTAGGGACTGAGACAGTGGCTAGCAGATGACAAGTTTATATTCTAAGAGTGCTATTTTTCCACTGAAACAAACTATGGTGAACACATATTTTTCATTAGCAAGTATTTAAGTGAATTATTTACTTATACAGAAGACTGCAGCATTTTCTGGTAACGGGATGACTTCGTGTTCACCTCCATAGGCTTCTTCAGTTCCAAGAAAATATAAGTGCCTTGGATTAAGGTAAAGGTTAAGGTTCCCTTGCTCGAAAGCCAGTCGAATCTGACTCTAGGGTTGCGGTGCTCATCTCCGTTTCAAAGCCGAAGAGCCAGCGTTGTCCGGAGACGTTTCCGTGGTCATGTGGCCGGCATGACTAAACACCAAGGCGCACGGAACGCTGTTACCTTCCCACCGAAGTGGTACCTATTGATCTACTTGCAATTTCTTGCTTTCGAACTGCTAGGTTGGCAGGAGCTGGAACTAGAGATGGGAGCTCACTCCATCATGCGGCACCCGGGTCTCGAACTGCTGAACTACTGACCTTCCACAGCCTGCAGTTCAGCATCTTAACCACTTGAGCCACAGCAGCTCCTTAGATTAACCTGGAACATTTGATGGTTGTAGACACAACAGTATTTGTGGAGATATTTTTAGAATTAGAATTAAAATAAATTGCAAGTTGAACTAAGAAAAGGAGTTGCAAAGCTTTCTCTTCTCCTAAATATTTGATTAGTTCAGTTTATATCAAAGAGGGTGAGTTAATGTCTTTTGATATAAGATTGCTGTTGAATATTTTCTCCCTAACAGAATGCAGCTTACTGGAGAGACAGTTATGTCATTGCTATCCTGCTTGTTCTGCACTAAAAATGCAAAATTTATGAACAAAAAGCCACAAACTCTGCAATTAAATGAACTAGCAAATGGTATATTTTTTTATAGTATGGCTAGGAAGGATTATTTCTGCAGCAACTTTTTGGAATGACAGTCTACATAAAATGGTACTTTAGCTTATATTAGCACCGAGATTGTGGTTTTGAAGGCAGTTTAGCAGAATGTTTGTTTATTTAATTTAAAATTTGGAGTAGTTGAATGATGGAGGCTCATGATGTGTGAAGGCCTGTTCTATGGTACTTGGGAGATTACAGTCTGTCCAGTGCAGTTCTCTTTGTTTGGTGACTGGTGTTCCAGTCTAGAACATATCTGGTCTCTTATGTTGCAAAGATTTATTTCATGTCCTAGTTTTCTCCCTACAGCCATGAGGAACATAGGATGTAAACCAGTCTAGCTAAAACGAAGCACTTTAAAGTCTAGTTTCAACTGAAGAAACAAACAAAGGTTGAATTCTCCTTCACTGAAGTTGGTGGGACTTGAAACTGCTTAACTTTGGCTGTATCATATACTGGGATTCTTATTATACTGAATTTTAAGCTCAGAACACAGTGAAACTATCAGCTTGGGGCCTGTGGATTCTAACCTATGCATCCCAGCTAAGTACTTAAAAATCATCTGAAGAGGTGGCTACCTGTTCATTTTCTTTTAATCATCATTGTAGTTTTATAACTAGCTTTTCACCCGGTATTTGTGTTAGGGATGGGCACGAACCACACTTTTGTGGTTCAGCTCATGGTTCATGACTGAACTACAAACTGAATCATGAACCAAACTGCATGGATACGCTGGTCCCGAACCAAACCACTTGTATAACTTTGTGGATCATTTAACATTTAAAACCCTGCTTTCTGCTCCCTGTGGAAGCAGGGGAAGCAGAAAGCAGAGGGTTAAATGGCTTGGAGTCACTTTGAAGCGGGGGTGGAGCAAAACCAGAGGGTTAGATATGGGGTAAATGCCTCCTTTTTGCTGGCCACAGCTTTCCCTGGCCAGCAAAAAGGAAGGGGTGAAGTGCCTCCCAGAGGTCACTTCACTTCTTCATGTCTGCTAGCTAGGGTCTGCAGAAAGGAGGGGTGAATGCCCCCTAGAAGGCACCCCTACCTTTCTGGTGATTGTGGTGAGCCGCGACCAGCAAAAATGTGGGGGTGGTGCCCTTGGGAAGGCATGTCAGCCTTTTCTTTCTGCTGGACCAGCTGTCTCAGGCCCGCTCATGCAGCCCATTTAAAGGAGCTGCACCAGGCACCCTGAGGCAGGCGAGCCAGCTTTTTGCAGGGAACAGAAAGCAGGGCCATTTAAACTCTGAGCCATTTAAACCATTTTTGCTCCCCATGAAAAGCTGTGGGGAGCTGAAAGCAGGGTTTAAATGACTCTGAGCCATTTAAACCAAACAGCTGAGAGGTGGGGAGTTCCCAGCTGCTGAGCTGTTTTTGGAGAAGAGTGGAAAGGAGAGTAAACCCCTGTTTCTGCTCTTCACGAACCATCACGGGCCACTACAAATTGTGCTAATTTTCGTGGTAGTTCATCCTGTTTTTTCATCAACCAGTTCATGCCCATCCTGAATCTATGTTGCTGGTATGGTACCAGCTCCTTAGTGCCGACCTGTTTTACAGAGTTCTGCATGGCATCTTCATAGTGCAGTCCTGTTTGATGAACAAATGTATTATTGTGGCTTAGCATTAAGTCTGATGGAAAAAGAGATACTGTGAACATTGATCATGACTCCTTTTGCCCTGTAACCAAGTAGACTATAACTTTATACTAAAAGGGAAATGAGAGAGCTCCTAGTGCTGACTCCATAGCCATTTGTAAAATGGCCACTGCTGCTGAAATCTACCCTTGTGCAGCTTCCTTATAACTTTCTTTGTCATTGGGTTACATAACGACATCTGTGTACTATTAGCCCCATGTAGCCAAGATCTGCGGATAGCTAAATGGGCAGATCTTGGCCACGTGGTATGTCATGATTCTAGACCTATAGTAGTGCAGCCTACAGGCTCTAGGGAGGCCTAGTGGCTCCAGGGAAACCTGTACTAGAGTAGCTATCAGGGCCTGTACTTCCAGGTCTCCTTTGGACCCTGTATTGGTTCACAGGGGATTTGGAGTGAACACTTACACAGGGTGTTGTCTGGGTGTTGGCTGGGAGTTTCCTGGGAAGAAGTGATAAAAAGTTTTGCCCAAAGTGGGAGGTGGTTCACTTCTAGGAAGCAGAGCTGGTGTGAAGCTGCTGCAGATGGAGGGATCCCTCACCCAAAGGGGGTGAGTCAGCTTGAGGCCAAATACCTAGAGAAGGCTAGGTGCAGTATATTCAGGTGCATTAGGGTTTCTTATTTGGCTAGTTTACCTACCTTTACTGTATTCATTTTTCCTACAAGTTATTGAATTATAGTTGCTGTTAAATCTCTTAAATATAGTTTGTTAGTCTGGGTTCTCATGCCTCATTCGGTCACTTATAAGGGGAAACCTACTGGAAAAGGGGTGTATAAAGGGGTAAGGTGAGTGCTCTGGTCCGTCCCGAGAAGATCCATACAGAGTGGTGGCAGCCATTAGAGAACCTTTCTATCTGCTGCCCACAACATGGAGACTCACGAGATTTTTCTGAACACATGGGGGACTCTCCTGGTATGCAGAAAAACTGAAATAAAAAATAATTAAAGGAGGGGTTTAAATCCCTCAAAATACGTTTGTGTTGTCTGTGCATGTGCAGACAATGCTCTTAACTGGACGAGGAGCTGGAGGATCCCAGTAGCAGAGGAAGATGCCAGCAGACATGCTAGGCCCAGCCATGGAGGATGCCAGCAGCTGTGCTAGGTTTGGCTGTGGAGGCAGAGCCCAGGAGTTGCTGGCAAGCCTGGCTACAGTGTTGAAGCAGCCAAGCAGCTTCTCTAGGCCCGGTGGTGTTGGAGCCTGACAGCCCCTGTGGGCTCAGAGTGGCTTCCAGACACTACCAGTGCTGTGGCAGCTCCCCCAGGGAGTCATGCTGGATGGTGATGAGGGTGGATGGGATTTTCCCTTCGAATTTCATGGCCCCCCCATTCTCTTCTAATTTCAGGTCCAAATTCCTAATATAAAAAGATGCTAAGCAGCTCACGATAGCTCTTTCTATAGTTTTCCAGAGGCAACATTCCTCATTACTGTAAGGCCCAGATTTTTTTCTTTCTGCTTTCTTTTACCTGCTTTCTGACTGCAGCTCAAAGCTCTTCTTCACTCCAGTCATAGCACAGTTCTTCCAAAATGGAGCCTGTATGACTCTGCCCGCAAATCTTCCTGTGGGAAAGCCAGCCCTGGGAAAAGGGCTGGGAAAGAGCTTCTGACCTTACCAGATTCTATCTTAGTACTGATTAATAAGTTAAGTTAATGATTTAATTATAAACGAATTAGATCACCAGTCAGCCATTATGCTGCATAGCAGGATGAGAGGAAAATTCATAGCCCCATTGGCCTGCCTGGCCTAGTTGGCTCCTCCAGTCTGACTCTATCAGCATCAAGTCATCCTGAAGGGGACCAAAGAAGACTGATGTTTATTTTATATTTATTTTTGTTAGCGGTCTTAAGGTTTTCTATTGGAAAACAATATAGGATCTAAACATATTTTTTTTTCATTAACATTTTATTGGTAGAATTAAAAAGTTTTGAGAAGTCATAACTACCAATTACATATAACAATAAAAATGTACATAAAGGTCATAAGAAAAGTTAAACATTCAAACGAATACACTAATTACAAAAACAAACAAAAAATGTAAGCTTTAAAGAATGATACATTCTTCAATAAACCTTTGAACAAAGTAACTTGTTTTATCCTCAATTTGTAATTGATGCCTGTACTGTTTGTTGCTTTAGATACAACCAAGTGTCTTCTGCCATCAAGATCATCTGTAGACATTCAATGATATATCTAACCATGTTA